ACACACACACACACACACACACACACACACACACCCCTACACTCATGCGAACGCACTTCTCCTGAGGTGGTCCCCACCCCCACGCAATCCCTCTGTCCAAAGCAGCCTGTGCACCTGCGTGGGCCTGTGTTTCACATTTAAAAGTTCCCAAAGCCTGTCTCTGGACACGGACAGCTTAACTGTCTACCACTGACTGCCAGGGCACTGGAAGGCAGTGCTAATGGACCGCAGGTGAAGCAGAGCCGACCAGGCGCCCTCCCCAAGGTGGGACGATTACCTGCACTAGCAGTCACACTGTGGGACCCGAGCCCGGCTCCATGAACTCACCTTCTCCCTCCCGATCGGAAGGGGCATCGCTGTGTAGAGGTTCTTCCTTCCATCGAACACTGGCTTCCGATCCCCAAAGATCTGTGTTTTAAAGTGCTGGACCATATGTTCCACTATTTCCCTGAAACAGACAGAATTTGAGTGAAATGTTAATGAAGCCCGAGAAGTGACACAAGGACAACACCCTTCCCAACTCGGCTCCTTTAGCAACACGACTTTCAACTTTCTTTGGTAAAGAATCCAACTGGAACCTTTGGTGGGTTCATCTTGTTCCCTGAGCCACTTGAACATTGTGGAGCGTGCTCTGCACCAGCCACCACATGTGCCGCAGACCTTCCCGGGGCCCCAAGGAAAGGACCGCGGGGGGGCTCCTGTTCCTAAAGCCGTAGGATTGGATGTCACTCGCTTTGCCGTGGGACTCTGCAGGCACCATCCCCACCAGGTTGGTGCCTCAGGTGGGCCTTGCTTTGGTCACTGGAGAATCAGAGGTTCTGACGTAAGCAGATGTGTTCAGGGGTTTCTATGCTCGGCTTGGTGTCCTGCGGTCCCCTGTAAGAAGACACCCTGGTACTATTGCCCTTTCAGTCTGGGCTCCAGAATAAAGACCCTGAATTTGACTCAGAGCCCAAATCCAGCCTGACCCAGTGGGGCCAGTGGGTGTTTGCTGCACGCCACTGAGACTTGGGTGCTGTTTGCCCCTTGGGCATTACAGCAGCAGACTCCCCAAGAGCACAGGAACTGCTCTGCCACGGGCTCTAGGGCACCCATGGGTCCGCACATGGCCCACGCTCAGCAGAGGCACAGACGCACACTCTGCGGATGACCTGAGACCCTCCACCGCCCAGCTGGTGGGAGGCAGGAAGAGCAGGGCCACCGCCTGGCACATCTCTGCTCTGAGAGCCCATGTAGCACATCTCTGCCAGCAGCTCAGGGAGGTTCGAGGCATTTCAATCCAACTCACTGAATGCCTGACATTCTTACACACAGGGCCTAACAAAGGAGAGACAGGAAAGGCCATGACCCCTGCCTCTCCCGAAGTCCTCGTAAAGCAAACATGTGAAGGATTGATAGCAAGTGGCCATCAGAGGCTAAAAATCTCAGCCATTATCAGGAAGTAGCAGGTCCCAGGATGTGGCAAAGAGAGAGATGAATCCTGAAAGCAGGGGCAGAGGGAAGAAGGGCGAGGGGGAGGGACATCTGAAAGTTAGCTCCAAGCTGGGACCTGAGCCCAGCTCTGCTGTAAGGGTTTTTCTCCGGGGCAGAGCCTTGGCCATCTGTCAGGAAGCAAGAATCAAACTCCTCCCATTCCTTTCCCAGAAAACGAGGACAGCTGGCCGGAGCAGGCTTTCTGTAATTCAAACTGGCTCTGCCAGACCGACCTTCAACTGTGTTCATCACAGGAGGCACGTCTATAGGGATCCAGCCAATCCTCCCCCAAATACCCTGTGCCTGGTGTCCCTGGGGCAGGCGGAGCCTCTGCACACATCTCTGATGGTGAAGCCAGGAAGGCACCAGGCCTCCGACACCAGCTGGGAGATCACAGCCCCGGCAGGCGCAAGGCCCGAGGACCTCCCCCAGCCTCCACCTCTGCAGCAGCCAGGGCGCAACCTCACCCGCATCCACGTGCCACCCCGGCCACTGCAACATGCCATCTCCAGACCACTGCTCTCGCCACGCTTCACGGACCCGTCTTCACAGTCAAGACTTCGCGATCGACCCAGGGTCAGGAGCTCTACTGGGAGGTTCCACCCACATTCAAAGAACAGATGATCCAACCAAACCCGAGTTTACTGTGAGCAGAATGAAGAGGCCGCCCCCCAACTCGTTCTATGAGGGGGGCAAAACTTTCATCTCAAAACTTGACAATGATCATGGGCCAACTGCATTGATAAACACAGATGTAGAAGCAAAGTATTAACCAACGAAATCCAGCAACATGCTAAAAATAACCAGTCGGTGATGGGCAGACACCGGGATGAAAGGGCGGGTTTAACATAATAAAAGTAACTGATGTGAAACAAACTACAGACGTAAGTAAAAGCTAAAGCTATAGACAACGAAAGAGAAGAGTCTTTTTGGAGCCGGAACAGACAAAGGTATCTTAGAACACAGACAGTGTCAACTGTAAAAGAAAACAATAAAAAGAATGGACTTCAGAAAAACTTAAAACTTTTACTCTTAAAAGATACCTTTACGAAAGGAAAAGGCAAGCCACTGACTGCGGGAAGTATTAAAACAAACACGTATCTGACAAAGGGCCTGCAGGCATAATACATAAAAAATCCTTACAATTCAATAAGACGCACAACCCGACTTCTAAAAATGGGTAAAAGATGTGAACACACTGCAAAAAAGATACACAAGTGGCCAATAAGAACACGAGTCATTACGGAAATGCTGACAAAACCAGAGGCACCGCCGCACACCCACGCGACCGGCTGCCACCCCAGACCCACCCCCAGGGCCGCAGGGCCGCGGGGACGGAGCGACTCGGCGCTTGGGGGGAAGTTCGCTATTTCTTACAAAGGTCGGTGTGCACACACCACCTATCCAAACCGGGTAACTACACGAGAGAAATGAACACACAATCACATCAACACTCGTGTGCAAATGTTTACCATGGTCCCAAACTGGGAACAACTCAAACGTCCAGCAACAGGCGAGCAACTGGGGGCAGCACGTTACCGCGGGACACGCGCCCTCCATTCACGAGTCACCAGCACACGCAGCACCGCGGCTGCGGCTTGAACACGCGCAGGGCGAGGAGCCAGCTACACAGCGGCACACGCTGTGATTCCTTTTCTACGACACTTTCTAACAGGCGAAAACGGATCTTCGCCGC